GGGGGAGAAGAGAAGAGAAGGAGAAGAAGAAAACAATTTTGGATCAGATTTATGTATCAATAAAAGATAATTTGTGCTATTAATTTTGTTTGTAAGGCTTTTCTCTAAATAATTGTGTAGAAGAGGGCTTAGAAGTCAATGCAATAAAACTGAAAAGACAGTTCCAGGCTGCTGAATGGAATGATTCAAAAAGGATATATTAAAGTTCATGAAGTAAGAACAGGAAGAAGTGAGCAAATATTATGACCAAATGATTGTATACGAGACTAAAGCATCTTTCACTGCGAAGGACTGGGAGTTAATGGGAAAGTGAGAAGCTTGAGTTTAGCAACATTTCCAGAATGATTCAACGGTTACTAACTTGGGTTTTCCTTGATGGAATGAACTAGAATAAATATGTTAAATGGACCCTCTCTCTCCAAACACATAGATTTTAAAAACGCTCATTTTCCACTTCCCTGAGAAATACAACATGAGTAAAAAGAGCCAGCTCTTCTCTACTTTAAAATCACTGAAAGCCCCAAAGCACTCCCGAGAAGTTGAAGAAGACCTCTAGCCACCACATTTTGTGACCACGGAGAGCTGATTGTTGTATATGTATTTTTTTGTTTGTGTATATATGTATTTCTATATATCTCTATCTGCATCTGTATATATCTATATATATCTATACTTTTAAATTGTCATTTGTTTTCTTTCAGGCTTGTAAATTTTATAGTTCCCAGTGGTATGTGGTAAACTACAAATATGAACAATATTCTGGAGACATTCGACAGTTACCTCGGTAAGAACCTGTTATGAGAGTACTGTGTCATTTATTTAGTATTTACATGTGTTCTGTTTATGACTATATATGTGTTGATATAATATCCAGGTGCCTTTCCTTACCTTTTAAAATCACTATGAGGTATATCATTGTGTTCAGCAGTGTCTCCTACTGTTGTTGTATAGAGTCAAGTGAGAGCCAGCCTGTAACCGACCCTCCAGCGGGTTTGAAAAGGCTGTAAATCGCACAGGAGAAGATTACCCATCTTTCTCACAGAGCAACTGGTGCATTTGACTTTTGCTTTGGCAGAGCAACTCCTTACCACTAAGCCATCAGAAAACATTTGACAGTATTGATCATAATAAATTATGTCTAACATTGAGAACAGTGGGAATCCCAGGACACTTAATTTTGCAACTACTGTACAACCAGAGCCAGGGAAAAGTACATGCTTTAAAATTATGAAAGGGATGCATCAGGAGTGTGTTCTGTCTCCATAACTACTCAGTTTGTATGCTGAGTACATTATTCGAGAAGCTAAACTCTCTGAAGAAGAATGTGGCAACAGGACTGGAGAAAGACTCATCAGTAATCTTGTTATGCAAATGACACAGCCTTACTTGCTGAAAATGAGAACTTGAACTTCTTGCTACAGAAGATCAGACTGCAGCCTTCACTGTGAATTGCATCTCAATGTCAAGAAAACAAAATTATCAGCACTAGACCGATTGGCAACACCATGACAGATGGAGGAAAAAAATTGAACTGTCAATTTTATCTTAGTTAGATTCATAATCAACACCTTCCATACCTGCAGTCTGGAGATCAGGAGACATATTGCACTGAGAAAGTCTGTAGTCAGGGACCTCTATAAATTAATAAGAAGCAATGCTGTTAGTTTGAAGACTTAAGTATGTCTGATCCAGGCCATAGTCTTTTCAATCACTTTCTATGTATCTGAGAGCTGGACAGTGAATAAGGATGACAGAAGAAGAATTGATGCCTTTGAGCTGTGCTGTTGGAGAACACTGAACATCCTGTTGACAGTGAAAAGAACAGACATGTATGTCTTGGAGAAGGTGCATCCAGAGTGCTCCTCGCAAATAAGGATGGTGAAGTTTCATCTTGTATATTTTGGGTGTGTTTCCAGAAGTTATTCCTTTTATAAGGTCATCATGCTTGGGAAGGTGGAAAGAAAGCAAAAAAGAAGACCCTCAACCAGGTAGATTGACATAGTGATCACATTTATGGTCTCAAGTGTGTCAGAGGTGGTAAGGTTGGCACAGTATAGGAGTTGTTGTTCTTATGTGCCATTGAGTCGCTTGTGACTCATAGCGACACTATGTACAACAGCTCTAAACTCTGCTCTGTCCTGTGCCAATCGCACTGTCTCCGACACTCCCATCCTGATTATCCCAGTCACTGAAGCAATCCACCTCATAGAGGGCCTTCCTCTCCTGTGCTGTCTCCCCACCCTCCCAAGCATGATGTCCCTCTCCAAGGACCGGTCTCTCCTCACAGCATGTCCAAAGTATGTTAGACGAAGCCTCAGAATCCTTGCCTCCAAGGAGCCACCCGGTTTAACCCTTTCCAGGACAAATCTGTTTGTTTTCCTAGCAGTCCATGGTATTCTCAATACTCTTCTCCAGCACCACAGCTCAAAGGCATCAATTCTCCTTCTATCCTCCTTGGTCATTGTCCAACTCTCTGATGCATAACAAGTGATTGCGAAGACCATGGCCTGTATCAGACGTACCTTAGTCTCCAGAGAGACACCATTGCTCTCAAGTACTTTGGAGAGGTCCCTAACAGCAGGCTTTCCCATGGCAATGCGCCTTTTAATTTCCTGGCTGCTGGTGCCAAGAGTGTTGACTGTGGAGCCAAGCACATTATTAACAGTATAGGCTATATTAACAGTATAGCATAGGGTCGCAGTATTGTCCATAGGGTCGCTATAAGTTGTATTCAACTTGACAGCACCTAACAGCAACAGAGAAGCAGCAGAGCTTATTTACATGGAATATATAGGAATATGTTCGCTATATTGACAGAGTGTGAAATAAGGCATAAATGTATTAATTTTTTGTGGATTTTATACAAAAATCAAAATGTGATACTGAATCATTCTGTTACGTGTTTGTGAGTTTTGTTTTCAGTAGTATTTGCCAGACAATTGTATGCCATTGGGTCTGTTCCAGTCCATAGGATGCATGTGACGGGGTTTTCTTAGCTGTAGTGTTTACAAAAGTAGATTGCCACGTTTCTATCCTGGAAGCCTCTTGGTGGATTCAAACTGCTAACCTCTTGATTAGCAGCCAACCGTTCCACCATTGCTGCATCCAGACTCCTTGCAAGAGGAACAGGAAAATGCAGTGTGCAACAAAGGATATTGTCTTTGTGATATGCAGTGCATGTCATTCAGATTTCTACTTATCTCATGTATTTTTGTGTAAAAAAAACCCTATAGAATAACAGAAGTGAAATAGAACTAAAATTTTTAAAATGTTGTTTTTCTCAACTTAAAAAAACTCAAGGACAGACGTGTAAATTTTAGAATTTGCTCTAGACATAGGGGAAGGTCTGGCATATAATGGTCACTACCTTTCAAGTTGAGGCCAATTCCTAGTAATCCAGCACCGGAAGTCTGAAGCTGTAAACTGGTACAAGAGGATACTGCCCGTGTGTCTGTGAAAGATCAGTTTGGGGATTTGAACTGCTCATCTTTCAAGTAACAGCTTATCATGGGATGCCACAGTTGTGTTGTGCCATCAATTTACCTGTGACTCATAGTGACCTGATGTATAATAGCTCTGAACCCCTCCCTGTCCTGAACCAGTCTTACTGTATCTGACATACCTACCCAATTATCCCCATTAGTATGCCAATCCATCTTATCCAGGGTCTCAGTTTCCCATACTGTCCCTCCACCCTTCCAAGCATGATATCCTTCTCCAAGGACTGGTCCCTCCTAGCAACATGTCCAAAGTATGTCAGACAGAGCTTCAAAATCATTGCTTCCAGGGAGCAACTTGGTTTCACCTTCTCCAAGACAGACTTGTTTGTTCTCTTAGCATTCCATGGTATGTATGTTCAGTGCTCTTCTTCTCCAGCACCACAACTCAAAGGCATGGATTCTTCTTCTGTCATCCTTCATCATTGTATAGCTCTTTGATACATAGCAAGTAATTGTAAAGACCCTGGCTTAGATCAGGTGCACCTTAGTCTCTAGACTGACATCATTGCTCTTCAGCACTCTAGAGAAGTCCCCAACATCAGATTTTCCCAATGCAGTTAATCTTTTGATTTCTGGTTTGCAATAATTACTTATTGGATAAATATTTGAGTAAATAATACTTTAAAATAATGTCTCTTGGTGAAATTGAGATTGCTCAAATTCAAAGGACTTCTTTGAACTGGGTTCTCACACGAGAGTGGCTCTCAGACTAAGATTATATAAACTATCCAGAAAGAAAAAGAAAACATTTAAAACTTTCAAAGTTAAGTTTAACACTTTGCCAAGTGACACATGAGGTGACTCACATTGGATCTGTGTTCTTAATAAACATCGTTCAAAATGTTTAATAAACACATGGTTCAAAACACACTTCCCAAGATGTTATGGCTTCAAGAAAACTTTTCTAGAGTCCAGTGCTTGAAAATAGTGCTTTCAGCTTCAGAAAGCAGACTTTGAAACAGCTCACTGCTGTGAAGTTGGCATCTGAGTTCAGATGGGAATGACTAGAAAGAAGCTGGGAGCTGTAATCTAGGAAATAGGGCTCCAGGAACAGACAGCAAGGGAAAAGTCCCCTGAGCAAGGAGCCAGAATGGGGCTCGGGTGGAATGACAAGTAGGGAGACCAGAGCGAAGAAGAGGAAAAGAAACAAGCAAACAAAGCAAGCAAACCCGTTGCCATGGTGTAGCTTCTGAGTCAGGGTGACCCATCTGTGTCAGAGTAGAGCTGGAGTCCACAGCAATTACACTGATGCTTTTCCAGAAGCAAATTGCCAGATATTTGTGTTGAGGCTCTGCTGGGAGGACTCACGATTGTCAGTTAGTAGCAAGTGCATCAACTAGTTGCTGTTGTTTTAAGGAACTCTGGTAGCTTAGTGATAAGGAGTTGCACTGCATACCCAAAGGAACATGGTTCAAATCTACTAGCTGCTCAACTGCGTAAAGATGGGAAGTCTCCTCCTCTGAAAACCCTCTGAGGATCAGCTATGAGTTGGTTCTGATTCCAGGGTACAAAGCAACAACAATAACAAATACATTAATCCTTCATTTCACCAAAGACAGAGGTAATTCAGTAGGTGAAACTATGGGAGTAGGCAAGGGTCCATGTAAGATACTGGAAAAGAGCTTAACTTGTGTTCTAATCCCAGCAAGAAGCTTTTAGACTTAACCAGAGGCATGGCATGCTCCATTTAACTATCCCATGCTGGAAAGTATGTGAAGAGACTGGACCTTTCATGCCCTTCTGGTCAGACTGTAAAATGGTACAACCACAATGGAAGGTAGTCTGGTACTTCTTCAAAAAGTTGAAAAAAAAATAATTTTACCTAGCTGTCTTACTATTGGCAATGTACCCTAACGAAATCAGAGCTGTAACACAAACAGATGTATGCATACCTGTGTTTATTGCCGTATTATTCACAATAGCAAAGGAATAAAAATAATTCCCAAGAGCCCATCAACAAAGAAATGGATAGAGAAACTGTGATATAGTCACACGATGGAGTATTACATAGCACTGAAAAATAATGAGCTCATGAGACACTACACAGCATGGATGAGTCTGAAAGGCCTTGTGCTGAGTGAAATATCCCAGGCAACAAATCAGCTAATATGGCATTAGGCCACTGTTACAAAAATAGGATGGTTATGGGGAGGGTTTGCAGGGAGAGTCGTAGAAGAACAGACAGATAATTCCTATATTGGAAGAGGTAAAGTGAAGGTAAATCAGAAATAAAGAAATGATATGTGTTGCAATTAATGATCTGGAACAGGATATACACTGTGGA